TCCTGCTTCAGCATCCCGAGGGCTGGGATTACAGGCATGTGACACCACGCCCGGTTTGTTCCCTTTTCCTTGACCTACTCAAAGCTCTCCACATTGGTCTAAAAGTATGGGGCTAACAATCCATGATGATTACTACCCACATCTGAAAAAAAATAATTTGTCTATTATGTGGCAGTCACTATTTTAAACACTAGAAATACAGAAGAGACCAGGCCAGATCCCTGGCTGCTGCACAGCTTGCAGGCTCCTACGGTGCTGGGAGGAGAGGCAGGCAATGACAAGTACACAAAGAAGATGTTCTAATACTGTAATACTTGCTCTGGAGATGGCTTGGCAGTAATAGCAGGAAGGGATGTTTGGGTGGGGGTGAGGGGCAGGTTACCATGGGTAGGATAGTGAGGATTTCTAAGAAGGCGATGCTTGAGCAGGCTGAAGGATGAGAAAGATCTCAGTTGGCTGGGGAAAGAGCATCCCATGCAGAGGTATGTGCACAGGTCCTGAGGTGGACATGAGAAAGCCAAGTAATGCCTGTAGAACTGAAAGTGGAGGTCTCAGAACCAGGGACAGTTCTATTCAGGGCCTTGTGGGCAGGCCATAGGAAGGAGTTTGCACTTTATTCTAAGTCTGTTGGCACATTTTAATGGAAAACTGTGAGAACACTTGGGGCAGTGAGCATTTGTTTTCAGTCATCCTGGCTATTGTTACACAAAAGCTACTTAGAAGAGGCAAGAGTGCAGGGAGGGAGTCCAGCTTGGTGGCTCTTTCAGGCAAGGAGGCAGAGGTGATTGGTACCAGGGTGGGAAGAGTGGAGATGGGGACCTGTGTGCAGATGCTGGATATATCATAGTCAGAGCCAACAGAACTTGGTGAAAGCGACAGAGAAATCAAAGACCATGCGTATATTTTGCATTGGGATAGTTGGACTTCTGAGGTGAGAAGACTGGAGTTAAAACAGGATCCTTGCCATCAAGACTGAAGTCACCAAGGACGATGACCAGGTAGTGGAGAAGTCAATACATCACTTCAAGTGAACGAGAGGGCATATGCAACTGTATCCAACAGTCTTATAAATTTGTGCTCTGCAAATATTCGTCAATATTCTTAAAGATTTTCATTGAATCTCTTTCAAGAACAAGCTCCTCGCCCTTTTTAAAAAGATGATGACAGAAATCAGTCTGCTGAAATGTTTTGTTGCCTCTTACATCTCATTCCCATGTCTACCTTTGTTTATATCCCTCTTACTAAAATGTTTCCTTGATGTGAGAAAAAAACGGTAACATTACTTCTTTCTGAAATCATGAACGTGCTACAAAGTCCTACTTACCAGTCATCAGAGGAAACGACTGAGAAAAATGCTTCACTGTGTAACGTTAACTTCTAGTGTTGGAAGTCCTCTTGGTTGGCTTTACTTCCCATTTGAGCCAAGAAGATATGGACGATATAGAGATTATGGTACACCAGATTTGCCGTGGAAATTAGTAGTAAATAATAATGATAAACCTGCAACATCTTACTGTAAAAATGTTGCATGTCTGATTTTCAAGTTTGAAAATATGATTGTCTTGACCCTCTTTTAAGTATTTTTATATTGACTTTAAAATAACATGTTCTTTGATTTTAGGTGATTCTGAAGAAATTATAAATTCAGTAAAGTTTGTACAGCACTTCATTGCTTGTGATATCATCGTGGGTATATACAGACTATTATGCAGAGATACTAGCAATGTCAAGCTATTGATCAAACATATTCAGTATAACTTGGTTGCTTCAATTAGCAGGGGTGTATTGGGGTGGTGTGTGCCCAAAATATGCCAGATGAGGTGTGACAGTGAGAAGCAAAAGCAGCAGCGCAGGCAGGGGCCCTCCTCAAATGGCTGGTGTAATGTCTATGTAAAGACAAGAAGGCCAAAACATACGGGAAACTGATGCAACAATACCACTTCTTGAGCCTCGAGTGGTGCCTGGACATAATAAAGGCTCAGTCAGTATTTGTTAAATGGACTAATTCATCCGTTGGATACTTCGCCTCTCAAAAGCCCGATCTATGTGCGCATGAGGCTTTCTGGGGACCTCTAGACATAAACCATAACATCATATACTTATTAGGCATTTGCACTTCTGTGAAGAGTCTATTCATTTCACTTGCCCATTGTTTTGACTCGGTCTTTTATTTGAGGGTAATCGAATTTTTTGAGTATTTTATATGTGAATCTTGTTTTTAAATTTTGTTTTTGAGACAGGGTCTCACTCTGTAGTCCAGGCCGACCTTGAACCCCCAGGCTGGTCTCAAACTCTCAGTGACTCTCCTGCCTCAGCCTCATGAGTGCTGGGATTACAGATGTGCTGAATCTTGTCTTTTAAAGTAAACATTTCCAGATATACAGAAAATTGTTAACTAGTTTGAAGAAAGCAATAACTTGGAGAATAAAAGACTCAGTCAAATAGGAAAGTGAAATTAACAGACACTTCACAGAAAAAGTAGATGGCCTAAATACACGATGTTATGCTTTATATCTAGATGTGCCCCCAAAAGTCATTTAGGAAAATGGATGCACCCTGAGACCATAATGAAATGTCAAGCACCCAAGCATAAATATTGCATGGTTTCTCTTATAATGAGAAACCTGAGTTATAAATAAAGAGTAAAATAAAAGATAGATAATAGGATATAGGAAGATACATCCTTTGCAAATGAGAAGGGGACCAAGGGGACCAAGGCATGGAGGAGAGGAGGAAAAGGAATGAAAAAGAGAATTAAGATGGGTTACGTACATGTACCAACTCCACGCAAGGGATTTATGTACTGCAGACATGGACTCATAAAAATAAATTTTAAAAAAACCAAGATTCACATTATTTGAAAAAGCTGTAATTCCAATATTAACTAATTCCCACCTTCTATTCACGCCTCAGAAATAACTAAATAATTTAGACCAGGGAAATAGACTGCACTCAAAACAGGAAGTAGTGGCTTCCAAATGGCCTGGGTTGGCCCCTCAAGGCTCCAGAAGGAGCGTTGTGACTACTAGAAAAGCGAAGAAAAAGAAAGTTAATTTGGAGTAACTACAATTTTGCCTTTGCCAGTTTTTTTTTTAGAAAACAGTAACAACTTATATTGCCAAACACTATTCACCATTTTTATCCTCTAAAATGAAGCTTTGTTGCTTACTCAGAGTACTCATAGACTCAAGAGAGCAGGACATTCAAGCCAAAGGCATACTTGAAGCTATTTACACTGTATGGAACATTTTGTGTAACGTCTCAGGGAGAATTAAATTTAGAGATTTTGTCAAGTAATTGTTATGCATTATTGTGCTCAGCATCCACCCCCATATATTTCTTTTCTTTCACTGACAGGATGTATTCTTGCCTCACAACAAACTTTCAGGATCGATGAAACCTGATTATGCAGTACTGGTGGCTATGTATGAGTGCTTTGTTCTTTTATTCATTTCTGTCATCTCCTAAGTTACCTACTATCTTACAGCTGTTTGTGACTTTTCACTTCCAGTGTGCTTATATGAAAAAGTGTAAGTCTTGATCATCGACCAAATGAAAGAGCCGAAAGAGGTCAGAATACAGCAACAGCATCTCACAATCCAAACTCCCACTCTCCCACACACTCACATAAGTAACCTGCCAGAGTTGGCAATGCTTTTTTTTTGTAGCCCTGAAATAGTGAGTTTACTACCTCTTGAATGTATTTCCTATCTCCAAATGACCTTAGTACTAATAATAGTTGGTTAATACCGGGAACACTGTATGTATAGTCTTCTTTTGAGATTGTGGATTTCCAAAATAACACATTTTAATGTAAAGAATGAAATAGCCTCGTTCTCATGGTTGTAGAGCTAACTTTTGTAGTTGCATCCCAACCAGAGTGCAGAAGGTAATGCATTTTTTTCATTTAGAAAACTAATAAATTCTCCAATAAATCAGCATTAAATGATTCTAGATTATCTTTAAAGGGAACACTATTTTGGTCTGTAGTTTCTCATTATAACTTTTTTCACCTTGACCACTCATCCCTGGTGAAAAGCCTGAAGGTTTTAAGAAATCCCAGACACTGACTAAAAAATTCTCTGAACAAAAACGGACTTGAAGTATACCAACTCTTTGCTGTGTATGATTACACTCACAGAAGCTATAATGGAGCAACAGCACCAATTCAGTTTAAGTTTCTACTTTATGAAAATAACTTTCCACTGCTACATCATCAGTAAATACACCTAAACTGAATTTGGAAAGCACTACCAAAACAGACCCATCATTTTACTGGAACTATTCAACTTTGCGTAATAGGCACTTTGACTCTAAAACAAATTAAAAAAATGAAGTGTTCCTTTAGGGGATCCATGAATCTCCCCAAAGCGTACACGGGAAATTGTATCATGTATGTGCATACATTTTTCTCGGGGGAGGGCTCATAACTTTGATCAATTTCTACAGGGGCACAAAGAGGCTAAGACAGTACATGCAAGAATTCTCACCTCTGTATTTTCGATAATTGAAGTTGTAGACCACAGGAAATTTATTTTACACATCTAAGTCCATTTCATGGAAGTAGGGTAACAGTCAGGAATTGGCAAGGACTGCAATTTTCCTTTAAGTTAAGGAACATGTTCTGGTTTAGAATGGTGAAATGGGGACAGAAGTGGTAACACGAACTGGAAACAAGGGGACTCCTCTAAGGGATTATGAATAAAGCAATACCATGAGATATGGTGCTACAAGCCTGTAATTCCAGCACTTGGGTGGCTGAGGTAGAAAGATTGCCATGAGTTTGAGCCCAGCATGGGCTACATAGTGAGTTCAAGGCCAGCCTGAACTACTTAGCAAGACCTTGTCTTAAAAAACCAAAAAATAAAAAATAAAATTTAATTTTCAGTTTCTGCACATTATCAACTTTTTGAAAATGAATCTCAAGAGGGCTGTCCTGAGAGAGAGGCTGAGGGAGGCTGCCCTGAAAAAGAGTTCAGAGAAGTCCAATTTTCAGTTTCTGCATATTATCAACTTTTTATTTTTGAATATCACAAACTTCAATCAGAATACTTTTTAAAAATATTATTCTGCATGCATTTAACAAATCTGACAAAAAGACAAGTATCCAGCTTATCTGCATTATAACAGCTTTAAATGAACAGCCAATTAACATGTATTTAAAATTAGGTACAGGAGACAATGAGAAACCTTTGATGCATTAATCTGAGGGCATCCTACCACTATGCACATGTTTATGTAACACTACTAGTAACGGCCCTGAAGCACAGGCAAATGGAGATGGAGACTCCCCAGAAAGCAAGTTTAAGGGATTAGACATCATCACCATCATCATCACTGCTGAGAACAAAGCTGCTGTCTGTGGACAGTGGCCCCCCTTCCTTCACATTCCCCAAGGTCCCCCTCTCATCAGAATCATCGAACAGCTTCTCACTGGAAGCCCCCTCCTCAAACTTCTCAATGGAGTTGTCATCTTCGAACAACACTTCATCCACATCTTCGTTTCCTTTTTCACCTGCATCTTCCTCATCTTCCTTTTCATCTGAGTCTTCAAACAGTTTCTCCTCTGTGTCACCTTCTCCCTCTTTTCCATCAGCATCCTCATCTCCTTTTCCATCTTCATCTTCTTCGTCCTCGTCTTCATCTGACACATCATTAAAAAACTCTTCATCTTCAAAAACCTTGTTGTAGGTTGCCTCTTCATCCTTTTCTTCTGACTCTTCGTCAAACTCTCTGTCATAGTCTTCCACATCTAACATTTTCTCAGAGCCTTCAAATTCTGATTTGTCCGAGTCATTTTCTTCTAACTGTTTGTCAAGAAGGTTGTTGAGAAACTCGTCAGAGCTATACTCGTCAAAATCTTGCTCGACACCATTTTCTTCTAATTCTTTCTCAGAGCCAACTTCAGACTGTTTTTCTGAGCGGTCTGCGTTAGATTCTCTCTCAGAGTCATCCTCTTCAGGTTTTTTGGGCTGGCTGCCCTCCCCTTTGGACTCCTTGTTGGCATCATCATCTTCAGACTCGCTGGTAAGGCTATTCTTTTCACAAGCTTTTTTGAATCTCTTCTTTTTAGGTTCTTTTTCAGAGCTATTCCCCTGCAACTCTTTTGTAGGGCCACCCTCTCCGAATTCATTTTCAGGACAGCCTCCCTCAGCCTCTCTCTCAGGACAGCCCTCTTCAGATTCATTTTCAGGGCAGCCATCTTTGCGCTCTTTTTCAAGCCCATCTTCTTTAGTATCTTTTCCAGAAGCATCTTCTTCAAATTCTCCCCTATCTTCTGTTTTTTCAAACTTCTTCTCATCAATAGGTTCTTCAAATACCATTCCAGTTTTAGCTTCTTCAGCTTTCATTTTCCATGTGCTCCGGGGCTCTGAAAAATGCCTCACTCTAGAAGGCCCTGCTCTTTCTGAAGCACTAACAGAATCTGAACGCTGAAGGCCTCTGTTGGCCTCAGGAGAATTGAGGAATGCCTCCCATCCTTTTAGCCTTTCCTCCCTTTCTCTTGAGGTCTCCTCCACCTATGGATAAGTAGAATCTGCCATTAAAAGGAGTTTTAGAAAAAAAGAAGCAATAACCTCAGTATTTCTAACATTGAAGAAAGTACCCTGAGTTTATAAGGAAACTCTTCTTAGGAAAAACAAGTAATTAACTCTTTTCAATTCTCAAAACTTTACATCTTGATTTGCTGACCTTCACTAATTATCATATAATTAAATCCAAATGCTATAATACTGCAGGAATGCCTCACTTCTTACCAAATTAATATTTGAGCTCTGTACAACATAGAACAGAAAAGAAACATTTTGGTTTAATGTATTCTTTTCTTATCACAATTCTGAGTAAATCTCAGGATTTCAGGCTAGCGAGCTAGAAGACTGAAACATTTTTCTTACCCTCCAAATTCTAAGTATTATTTAAAAGAAGTACAGTTACGCTGAACAATTATACCACACTGAAAGCTTCATTCTGAAGAACTGCTAGATCAGTGTTGTTGGCAGTGAAATAACACACGAGCCCTTGGCAATGGCAGAATTTACCTGATAATCTGTAGTCCCATCCCACGCTTGGGCAGTGATCTGACGGCCACCAAACCACCTTCCATCGAGGGTCTGAATGCAATAATCAGCTTCTTCTGGGTCCCTAAAGGACACAGAGGCCACACCATCAGGATGCCTCTAGAAAGACAAGAATGAACAGTAAGATTAAAAGTAAAATACACATTTCATACAGTAGGTAGGGAGTAGTGTTCTCTCAGATACACTGAAGTGAAAGACTTTATGAAGTCTTTGTCCCCAGCCAGTAAGATGCAGTCTGCTGTTTCTTTAGCTTCACCTTATCTAGCAAGAAGAAAGCACAATCTCTCTGGACACATTTCCATCGACAACAATATCTAGTGAGAGGCAAGAGAGTATAATTGTTAAAAGCATGTCAAACTCTGACTTAGATTCACCTCGGACTTGAATCCTGGCCCTGTCAGTTACCAGAGCAAAGCACTCTATCTTAAAGTGTCAGTTTCTTCATCCTTGAGTTGGGAAGAGTAGGTCGTTATCTACCTACCAAGAAGGGTTGTGAGGATTAATGAGGTAAAGTAGCTTGTAATATACCAGCTATATATGGTGACTGAATTACAATTTCAGAAGTAAAAGAGGGATAAGTGGGGAAATATGCAGATTATTTTTGCTAACTGTTCCAAATATGAAGGAGAATAATTCACATAGAGGTCATTATAGGCAAATAGGGGACCATAAAGTCTCATACATTTTTAGTATGCTTTCTTTGACTTGATCACATACTCTAGAGCAGGGACGGAGAACCTTTTAGAGCTTTCAATGATTCAAACAGCTCACTGTGACACACGTGCCGTAAGTTCACCACCACTGCTCTAGAGTAATGACAAGAAATTAGTAAGGCATACCAAATCTATCAAAGCCTTGACCAGTATACCATGCTTATCTAATTACTGCCGACAGACAACTACCATCAAACAGACCTACTGTATAAAGACATTAAATTCAAAACTCAGGGTGTACTGATGTCCAATAATCACTTATTCAGCTAGAAGAATGATTGTATTAGGATTCTTTTGTCTATGCCATCAACTTACATCAAACAGAAGGAGCTTCTTAATTTGTCCAAACTTTGAACACTCTACTCGAAGGTCTTCTCTGATCTCATTCAGCACCAATGGATCATCCTGCAAAAATAAACATGATTCAAATGGCACTGCCCCCTGTTTTTAATTCCAAAGAATCAAACTTCTTGCTCTGGCAAATCAACAAATTAAAAAAAAGAAAGGTTTCCCTTAAGGTTGGCTATGTTTGTCTGTGGTCTACAAAATTAAAAGAAAAAATCAAAATCAAATGAGATTAGACTACGACTGTCACTGCTACTAGGACATGTCTGCCTCACTCTTAAGACTGAGGAAATGGACAAAAATAGCAGAGAGCAGAAGGGTCTACAGTGGCAAAGGAAAAGGAAGTGAAGTGGGACTCGAAAGCCCCAGCAAACAGCAGCTTTGGGTAGAAGTCCTGTGGCACACATTCATCAGAGCCCGCTAATTCCTGTTCTGTGTGGGCAGCATAATCATGTATAATTGTTAAAAGCAATTATAGGGTGGCTTACTTTGCTGAGATTTGGAAAAATTTCACTCACAGAAATGGTGTAACACAGAGAGATACGTCCTTTGCATTGACTAAGTGTGCTAAGACTGTTTTACATATTTCTAAGATTGTACTTCAATCCCCAAGGTAAACCTTGTAAGGACTGTTTGTCTTATCACCTGCCATACTGCAACAGAACCACATACCACACAAAATCTTAAGCATACAGTAAAACACATTCTTGCACTTGCTTTATTACAACTAAGAGGGAATTAAGAACATTCAAGCATTGCTGTTTCTCGTGGTCTCCAGTTCAGGTAGACTCTCCTTCCCAGAGCAAAGTATTTAAGATTCCCAGTAGGGACTCACAAACTTTTGCAAGTCAGATCCAAATTTATGGATTTCTACTGAAGTCAACTTATACTTTCTAGGAAACATTTTGGTGTACCACCTACTTTTCCTACAGGTTTTTATTTTTTTCTCACCAACTAAAGAGGAACTAAAAAAAAAAAACCACCAAAAAGTGGCTTTCAACCCTAAATTTCTCTCAAAAAGGTAAACAACTTATAAGCAGTTACTGAAATCAGATTTAAAATAAAAAATATAAAATCCTCTGTACAAATCTGACGTTTCTCAAATTGAGCTGGCAGACTATAAAACATAATGTTGGAGAAGCCAATTTGTTTTACAAAGAACAAGCAGAACTGAGAAAAATGGGGAATGAAGCATAAACGTCTCGGTAGTCACAGAGTGGCTTTTGGTGATGTGCGTTTGCTTAACTCCTACAGGATAATGTGCTTTCTAAAAGCAAGATCCCTGCTTAATAGATCTGATGTAAGCCACAGAATTTTATACACAGTCAACAATCAGTAAAAGCCTTTTCAGTAAAAGCCTCTTACATTCACCAAGGGAAATAAGGGTTATATCAAAAGCAAATAGGTATCACCTGTAAACACTTACCAAAATTTGAATTTACGTGGGATTCTACTGGGGCACAGGGTAGCCGTGTAACACCTTTACTTCTGTATCAACGTACTAGCATTCTTCTCATGAGATACTGATTCTTAGCCTACGTCTTCCCAGACCTCCATTTCATGTCAGCTTGGAAAACTAATATATTACACTGATGTGCGGTATCCTTATGCTTAATGATACTATCCCTTTCCTTTTGGAAGATTCTTTTAACCAAGTTACACGTGGCAATTTTCTGAAGACTAGACTTAACAGGCAGTATGTCTGAGATTAAAATCAGCCTCATGCATTCCAACTTTCTGCAGTTAACTCTCAGGAATTTTTCCAGGGCGGTATTTTGTTTTCCATGGAAGAAATAAACCATGCTTCTCATGCCTTTCAAATCTAAACCTATGCTGGCTAAGCTGGTAGACAGTGACCACATGCGGTTACTGAGTACGTGAAACGGGGCTAGTCCTAACTGAGGTGTGCTCCACATGTGAAATACATACCAGATTTTGAAGATTTAGTACCAAAGGAAAAAAAATAATACAGCTCATTACACGATGAAATTATAGTATTTCTGATGTATTGGGTTAAATAAAATTCATCACTAAAACTAATTTCCCTGGTTTCACGTTCTATTTTTATTAAGGATACAGAAAAACTGAAGAGCACACATGTGCTTCATAGCGTACTTCCATCTGACAGTGCCGATTATGCACAAAGAGAAATCTACCTCTACATCTGAGTTTTGATTCTTTATCTTTTGCTATTCAGATGTGGCAGACAAGGCATTTTTAAATAAGGCCTTGAAATGAAAGCTAAAGATTCCCTAAAAATTAAAAATATTTTCCTTTCTCGTTTACATTGATACTACAGAGTATTTTTAGATATGTTGCTTCTAGCATTGGTTAACTATTTGGAATAAAAATATACTTCACCTCCCCAAATCTGCTTTCTTTCTGATAGCCCAAGGTGACCTGAAAATTCAGTTGTTTTTGACTGAAAAGCTCAATGCTGATGTCTTTCCTTTAGTTTTCTAAGAGTCTTGGGGCAAATCAGACAGTCCCCAAAATAGTGCAGTGAAAGCGGGCTTTCATGCTGAACCTTTCTATTGAGTTATGTCTGTACCAGTACCATCCAGTACTTTCTGTGATGATAGAAATTTTATATATCTGTACTATTTGGTACAGTAGCTACTAGCTATAGGTAGCTAGTACAACTGAACTGAATTTTTAATTTTATTTAATTTTAACGTAAATAATCATGTGGCTAGAATTTACCACACAGTATAGTACAAGTCTATACTGATACAAGCAACTTTATAAATAAACTGCCTATACCTATGAAGTGACTTCATGAGATACCCAGACTCCATAGCTGGACAATAAACGGTGTCATATCACAAGTCACAGAGATGGAGCTCAAGTGTCCATCTCGGATTCTTAAGGGGGCTAAAATGACACTGCCATTTTGATACTGTTTACAAACCATGCAGAAAAGCAGTAAGGTATATATAGTAGGCGAAGAAGGAAAATAGAGTCACTACTGAATTTAAGTTTTGGAATTCCCTTTGTTTCACCTGATACTCTTCCTGTAACTGTATGCTAGGTAAGACTGCTTAATATGCATACTGTGACACTGGCTACAACTGAAACATTGATAAAACTGGGATTTTATGTAATAAACATTTTTCTCTCATGTGTAACTTGCTCCCCTGAATTCCAGAACCAGACAGAGAATAAAGTGTTGTTTCTCCATTACTGATTGTATCCATCTATCCCAGCACACACAAATACAACCAGAGGCAGAATGCAACACAAGGTACCTTGATGCCAATTAATATTCCTGAAACTTCTTTAACTCTAGGTTTTCTTCTTTTAATCACTTTTTATTTGCTGCTCTACAAATTTTACATGGATATTAAGTACTACAACATTCTAATAGGTACTAAAAAGATTTGTAAAAATGAAGTCTTGAAAAACAACCCCCACTACATAAACATCACAGGCTGAATTTCATTAAGCCAAAGTTTTCTAAGGAACTTTTAGGAGGAAAGTGAAGTTTTCATTTTCAAGGGTGAAACTCGTATCTTTCCACCAAAGTCCACAAACTCTTCCCATCAATCTTAATGATGACATTATTAATGATATCCCATACCAGGCAGCTGTGTCTGGGGCCACAGTATGCATACTGAACAGTGTTACCTAGCATGCAATTATGGTAAGAGTATCAGGTAAACCTACGGGACTTCCAAAACTTAACTTCAGTCATTGCTGTTTTCCTTCTTTGCCTACTACATGAACACATAGAATGTGACATGACAAAGACGGGGCAGAGCAACTTTAGGCTCCTTGAAAGAAAGGACATTGGCATCTCTACCCATTAGGACACGATTTCCTACCTCAAAGTCTGTAGGGTGAAACATATTTTTGATGATGACAACTCGTTCATGGCGCATTCGGGATGGTCCGGCTCTCCTCTCGGGTCTCCAATCCAACTGCCTAATGCAATATAATAGCAACAAGAAATTCAACTGTTTCAGACTTGTTAGAGAGAAAGTGAGTTGTTAATGTAATGATATATTATTAAGTATTTAATATCTTAGTGAGCATTTATTAATGATAATTATTTGAGTCCAAAACAGTAATGTACATTTTAGTCATAGTTCCATTCCCAGAACCTTCTGAAATAAAAACACTGGGTATTGAGGGGAATAAACCCAGTATCTAAAATCCTCAGCATATTTTTTTTTTCAGAGTAACTCTTCTCATAAAAATGTTGCAATGAGACTCCTAAACACTGCTGATTATTTAATATTTATGATTCTCTAGCAAGAGTCATCCTCCCGTATCCGTGGAGGACAGGTTCCAGGACCCTCCCTTGGATATCAAAATCTGCAAACACTCAAGTCCCTCACATAAAATGGCAAAGTACTTGCATATATCCTACACACAGCTCCCTATATAATGAAATCAACTCTAGATTAACTGTAATACTGCATATGATGCAAATGTAATGTAAACAGCGCCTACAGTGTTTTGTTTACAGAATAATGACAAAAGCTTACGTTTCGTTTATGTTTTGTAATCTTTAAAAAATATTTTTGACCCATGGTGGCCTGAGTCCAGAAGCAGAAGCCATGGATATGAAAGGCTGACTGTACTTTAATGCCCCTAAAATAGGTTAGCAGTGCATTAGTTTCCGGCCATCTTATCATTATAGAGAACAAACTGCACCAAAATACATAGAAACTACCCACTCTTTGTTATAATCTTAGATTTTACTACGACTGCTCATAAAGTGTGTGGATATCATATTTTGACTAATCCTGTAAAAATCATGGGACATCAAAACTAAACACTTAGGATCATTTCATCTTTAAGAATTATGTTAGATGTATTGTAGAATTCACTCTGATGAAAGAAATCATCATGACTTTTACAAATTAGCATATTTCAAAAAGTCTGTTGAATAACAAAACAGTACCAGAAACCTGATGAGGTTACACATATGCTACATACAACTACACCATCAGTCAAGGATAAAACCTATCATTTCTGATTTTTGCTAACAAACCTGGCTATAACAATTTAGCTCCCAGGATAGCTGGTTACAACCCACATTGAAAATGAACTAGAAATTCTGGTATGTAAGCCTGAATTATCTTATCTAATTTGATGTCCAACATTTTCCAATGAGATGGCTTCCCTTAGCTCAACTTAAGCACCCTATAAACTCCTGAGAAAAATACCACCACTGCCAAATCAAGCCATCATACAGGTTACTGAAGAACCTTATCTAATGAAATTCTTTTAAAATAATACAGAGATATATCTGATGTAAACAGGTGGCTATTACCGAAAGTATACTTTAAGATACTTCTGTAACTTTTTTAATGGAACAAATAAAACAAAGTTCATAACAAAGTAACAGGAGAGTAACAATAGTTAATACACTGCATACTGTTATCTTCAAAGTAGTTACTGAGAGTACAAGAAATGGGCATAAAAATACTTTTTAAACAGGAAAAGATTACTAACTTTTGTTGCAGAGACAGCTTCTTCTTATAGTCTTTGCACTTCTTCTTCTTTTTTGAGGCATCATATTCCCCCTTCAGTTGAAACTTTGCCACCTCAACGTGTAATTTGTAGCCTCTAATTTCATCTTCATCCAAAAGTTTCAACGCAAGTTCCACAGATTCTCTCTTTATAAAGATAAAATAAAATACAAACAGTAATTTACACACTGACATGAAATGTAAGGAGTAGCTGCTTTTAAATGAAGCATGACTACTACTTACTTAGGGATAAGGAATTCTAGAATGTATATTAAGAAACTTATAATTGAAACAGCTGTCCCTAACCAGCTTTGTGAACTCAGGCAAGTTACTCAAGTCCCCTAAGTCCCAATTTCTTCATCTGGAACAGAAAAACAATGGAACAATACTATCTTTCCTCATAGGGCTCCTGACAAACTTAAATGAAATAATGCATAGGAGGAATAGGGACTAGCATACAATTACTATTCACCAAATTAGAGTAGTAGGTAGTTTTGCTCCCTGAAGCCCCAGTTTCTCGTCTGCAGAGTAAGGCAAGCAGGCTCATGTGCTTTCTGAGATGCACGCTAGTTTTAAAATCCTGTAATACTTTTACTTAGAAGATTAGATGACTCAAGGAATTGGGAATAGTACAACCCGACGTTTTCTGCTTTACCAAATAAAACGTAAGTCTGTAATACACTGATAAGTGGATGATAACTACTCGATGGCTACACATTAAATACATTTACGGATTCTGAGTCTTACACAAAGGGGAAAGTTATCAGCCTCACACAAACAGAATCAAAAGATCTGAGGGTCTGAGGAAAACACAAAACAACAACTGCACTCAGCTGTTCAATCCAATGTGAATTCTGGAACAATTAACTGTATTTTTTTTCTGGAACTCAATTTACTGGCTTGATAATCTTGTACTTTACTGGGCCCTAAATTGTACATATGAAGTTTCTCGACACTCTACTTTTTTCTTTAAAAACTTATAAAAATCTAATTGAATCTCCTAAATCAGTTCACAGATTTTAGTAATCCTTGCACAACCTGTAAACCGCATATTGAAACATTACAAAAGTACTCTCCTAAATGGTCATGCTCGTATTCTATACCCATCACATTTATGAAGCAGGTCAAAAACCCACCTCTGCAAAAGCTGTCAGCTCAATTCTACCATTTTCTAATTCCACTGCGATGGACACTTACAGCACACCTGTGGTGTTTCCACTGTTGTTTCACCATTTTTATTTTACTTTATAATTTTATTTTCAGGTTTGATGACAAATGTACACACCATCATCATGTCCCTTTCTTTCACACCAGACAATAATGCATAAAGAATGCCCCAGAAATGACAGCTGCCTTTGACACTGAGTGAGCTTTCCCTGTGTAAGTTATATTATCAAGACTATACAAAGTCGTGCAAATTTCTGTTTAGTAATTTGTGGTATTTCACTCTCTCTTCTCTCCCATTTAAAAAATTATTTTAAAGCAGTAAGCATAAGGCTATCATCTCATTCATGGTTTAATTTAAGAGTCAGAAAAGTCCTTTTATTTATAAAAACGGTTAATAAATAGTTTAGACTTTGTGGACCATGAGGTCTATGGTACAACCACACAACTCTGAGGGGAAGCACAAAAGCAGGGGCAGACAAATCCTTAAATACATGAGTGTGGCTGTATTCCAATAAAATTTATTTACAAAAACAAGTAACAGGCCTGAGTTTGCTAAGCCCTAATTCATTCCAGTGAGCTCACAAAATGCCACTGACTTGTTGTTCTTGGATTTTTAAAATGTTTTCTCAACTGACTACATGCACTGATAAAGATCTTTGCAGTGGGAATGTTTTTTAAGATAAAAGAAGCACGTCGTCACATACTTAGTGGATAACCTTACCAATGCAATACACACGGGTACCCTCTAAAATTTTAGTTTTCTTTGTATCTTGTTTTGAATAATTCTCAGCACAGATTATCATCAATAAAAGATTACAGCCCTCAATCCTGAGTTAAAAATGGAGATACAAGAAACTATTTGATCATATGACTAACCTTCAAATAACAACAAAGCCCATCTCCTTTAAGATTTCCTTGATTATCTTTGTAAAGTTTGACTTTAAATTCTTCTGTCTGAGGATCTCTCATAATAATACCAAACTTGGACATAAGCTGTATAAATTCATCCACTGTAATGTCTGGAGGCAAACCTGTAATATCAAAAAACATTTGCTAAGTAATTATAAAGGTGAGAGGTACTTGACATTCTACAATTAAAAATTGACAACTTAGAGGAGTGGAAAGTTGATTTTCTAAATGAATGCAAATATCTCACATGTATAAAACTGAGGATCATTTCTATTTCTATATATTCAAAATTACATTAAGATCATACTTTGCTTAGGCCTCAGAGGCCCTTTAGGGCCATAAGTTACCTAAATCAGGCAAAAAGGACGGTATCTAAAACTATATACCCTTCATTTTTCTTAGCTGTATAATAGACAAATTCCTCAGTAATGTAAACAACTGAACAAAAAAATGACACAATGGTTAAAATAGGCTTTAGAAAAACCAAGAACTAAAAATCACTTAAAAAAAATCTCAACATCTGGAGCCAGGGATATAGCTCAGCAGCATGAGTGCCTGCCTGGCAAGCAGAAGGTCCCTAATTTGATTCCTGGTACCAAGAAGAAAAAAAAAAAAAATCTCAACATCAAGTATTTCCAATTCTAAATTTGTTTAAATAGGTATGCATACCAGACACATATACATTTGTATTTCTGTCTTCTTCAACATGAAACCATCCTGAAAATGAAATAAATAAATAAATTACTGGCAGGAAAAGAGTCACCTTACTAAATCTTAACAAAGCAGCAGTTTTTTTTTGAAACTTTTAGGAACTTTCTCATACCCTCAAAAGACTAAGACAAAATAAATCACTATTCAGCTTTCAAAGTATCTGAATCTTTTGAGAGAGTTTTCCGACCCTATCTGAAAACGAAGCTGGCCAATTTATTTTGATTTTAATAACACTACCTTAAAGAGAAAACTTCATCTTATTATCCCTTCCAAGCTATTATCTTCTAGAAAAAGTTCACACACATATTTTTTACACTCAGACTTTGTAAGCTAGAACCACTTGCCTGAGTCACCCTTTCTTTTCTCTCCCCTCTTTCTGGGATCAGTGGGTTCTGGAGTTTTTCTTTGTGGAGGCTCTTCTGCAGCCCTCATATTAGTGTCCGGGACATGCGTAGTAGAACTAGATGCACCATCACTAGAGAAGCCGTAATTAGCTTGATATGTAGCAATGAAATCTTCAGTAATCTAAACAAAAAAGCACGAACACATAGAAATTCAAAGATATTTCTGCCCATAAGAAGTTTAGGTTGTGTTATGGTATATTCAGCAATACAACTTAACATGCAAGTTTTTCTACAGACAACAGTTGTAATGATTAAAGTATAAATGCAAGAATAATCACTTCCATAGGAAACCATATACAAAGTGATAAAAATAAGCCACAGTATCCTAGAATATCAACACAGAAGGCTGAGAAGCATTAAGTCATTTTAAGTGATACTGGCACTTTTTTCAGTTGTTTCCTTTATAAATTACTACTTCTCTATACTACACTTCATTGAAGCTACAAATGCATAAAACAAAGGTAGTACCAGGGAACAGTGAAACAGAATAAAAACCAAAAGCCAACTAATAACCTCACTACAGAACCCACCTTTTTAGTATACAGATGCACAAATACATATGTATACCGCAGAAATATGTGTACACAGACCACATAGCGTGGATCTCTGATTTTGTGTATAAAAATGGGGCTACTGGGGCTGGGGATTTAGCTCAGCGGCAAAAACGCCTGCCTGGCAAGCGCAAGGTCGTGAGTTCGGTTCCCGGTACCGGAAAAAAAAAAAAAAAAAAAAAAAAAAAAAATTGGGGCTACAACTATAAAACAAAACGTCCACTTAACCCTCACAAGCTACATCACACTAGCATTTATGAATAATAACATAATGTAATTATTATTTAGTGTCAGAACTATTTAAGGACAAATGCAATTCATATGTCTCCCTGGCTTTTGAGAAAAAGGCATTATTACACAATAAGAAAAATGTAGTTTTTCATCATACCAATTAAACAGTGGGTACACATACGAACAGGGAAAATGTGAAACTCAGTTTAAAGAGGTATGGACTTTAATAACACAAAAAGAGCCTAAAACCACTCTCATAAGACTATTGTTAAACGTACGCAGAAGGCAGAAGCAACCAAATCTGTCATCAAAGCTGGCATCAGCAGTACACAAGTGAAATAGCAGTAAATTTTAAGAATGTGTAGAGGTTGGAATATATATAAAGGCAAAATGGGAAAGAAAGGCTGAAATGAAGAAATTTTAAAGTTAACAGTCCAGTCACACAATGGGGACATGTGCTGTATTCCCGGCCCGCAAGTCAGTGCGTGGTTAGCATCCTTTGAAATTGACGCTCTTATAAGATTTAGATTAACAGGGTACTTTCACTGCAAGGTTTACACAGCCAAGTTTAACACTAGGTATTTTACGTCTATGCTGAAATCAAACACTAAGCAATTTCCAAGTGCGCCAACCAAAAGTGCACGGGTCTTTTGAGCTCATGTTTTGTGCACCTCTGTGACACGCCTGTGTTTATGTGGCTCACACATACATGCCCAGGGACAACATTTACTAGGGAAGTAACGCAAGATGCAAAGAAATTTAAGTCAATCAATATACGTAAAAAGCTATTTATTCAACCAACAAGCTGTATTTTGCACACAGTACACAAGCGAAATATCCGAACTCCCGAGATCAGGTTAGCTACTGAGAGAAAGTTACTAAACCTTGGTGTTTTTCCTCTGTGCAATAAAGAGCAGTCACCAATATAATAACCAACTGTGACCTTCACAAACAAAATTAATACGGCACGAAAAAAGCCACGTAAGACGCCACCTTGAAGATTCACGTCCCTTTACACAGCAGCTGTCGACAAACACAACAAAAAGACGCCAGCCACGGAGGGCGTGCGTCAAGGGGCTCCGCAAAGCCAACGCGCAAAGCGTGCCCGCAAGGCTGCCCCGCTCCGCGGCGGCGCCTGGGCCACTCTTACCTTGGGGAACCAAGCCTTCTTGTCCAGGTCCCACTCATAGGGGGTGTCAGCCGGCTGCTGCCCGAAAGAATCGGTTTCTCCACTAGAATCGTTGTGGGCATCACCCCCTTTGGCGTCTCCGTACAATTCTTGCAATCGCAACTGCTCATCGAACTCGTCGTTGCGATTCAAGTTGGCGTCGTTCATGTTTCCCACCTAGCAAGGCTCAGACTCGCAGAGGCCGAGGTGACGCTGGAGGGAGCGGAGGAAGGGAGGTCGGCCGAGCTCGGTTTTTGCCCCGTCGCCCCCCGCCCTGGCCCCCGGTCCCTCCCCGGAGCGGCGCGGCGCCCC